TCAGTACTTCTTTGCTTTTAATTGTTGAATAATATTTCATTATGTGGTTATAGTACGTTTTATTTATCCATTCACCAGTTGATGGACACTTGTGTTTCTGCCTTTTGTCTTTTATGAATAACAACATTATAAACATTTGTGTTCAAGTTTTTGTGTGGACATATGTTTAATTTCTCATGGGTATATACCTAGAAGTGCAGCTGAGTCATATATGTTTAACCTTTTGAGGAACTGCCAAAGTGGTTGCAGCATTTTACATTCTCACCAGCAGTGTATAAGAGTTTCTGTTCCTCCACATTTTCAGCAACACTTGCTATTGTCTATCTTTTTTTTTAAAGATTTTATTTATTTATTTGACAGATAGCAAGAGCATATTATATATATTAAAATGAGATAGCTATAATAAAATGAGATATTACAAAGCTATAATAAAATGAGATAGCTATAATAAAATGAGATGTTATCTCATTGTGATTTTAATCTATTTCCCTGCTGGCTTATGATGTTAATCATCTTTTCCTATGGTGACTAGTCATTTGTTTATTTGGGGGGAGAAATTTCTATTTAAAACCTTTGCCCGTTTTTTTTTAAGATTTTATTTATTTATTTGACAGAGAGAGCTAGCAAGAGCAGGAACACAAGCAGGGGGAGTGGGAGAGGGAGAAGCAGGCTTCCTGCAGAGCAGGGAGCCTGATTCGGGGCTCGATCCCAGGACCCTGGGATCATGACCTGAGCTGAAGGCAGACACTTAACGACTGAGCCACCCAGGCGCCCTTTGCTCGTTTTTAAATTGGGTTGTATTTTTATTACTGAATTGTAGGAGGTTTTTTTAAAAAGATTTTATTTGTTTATTTATTTACTTATTTATTTAGAGAGTGTACATGTGAGTGGGGGGAGAGGGAGAGAGAATCTCAAGCCGACTCCCTGCTGAGCATGGAGCCTGTCGTGGGGTTTGATCCCATCATCTTGAGATCATGACCTGAGCCAAAATCAAGAGTCAGAGGCTTAACTGACTGACCCATCCAGGTGCCCCTGTAGGAGTTCTTTATATATTCTTTATATAAGTCCATTATTAGGTGTATGGTTTATAAATATTTTTTTCCATTCTGTGGCTTTCTTGATGGTATCCTCTGAAGCAGAAAATTTTTTAAGTTTGAAGAAGACCAATTTATCTGTTTTTTCTTTTGTTGCTTATGCATTTGTTATATCTAAGAAGCAATTGCCTAATAAAAGAGCTACCTTGATGTTACATTAGTTTTTGTTTTTTTTTTTAAGATTTTATTTATCAATTAGAGCTAGAGAGAGCACGGGGTGGGGGTAGGGGCAGAAGGAGAGAGAAACAGGCTCCCCACCGAGCAGGGAGCCCGACATGGGGCTGGATCCCAGGATCCTGAGATCATGACCTGAGCCGAAGGCAGATGCTCAACCTACTGAGCCACCCAGGCGCCCCACATTAGTTGTTTTTTTTTTTTAAGACTTTATTTATTTATTCGTCAGCACAAGTAGCAGGCCGGGGGAGTTGCAGGCAGAGGGAGAAGCAAGCTCCCCACTGAGCAAGGAACCTGATGTGGGACTCCATCCCAGGACCCTAGGAGCATGACCTGATCTGAAGGCAAACGCTTAAATGACTGAGCTCCCTCGGCATCCCAGATGTGACATTAATTTTTTAAAAAAGATTTTATTTATTTATTTGACAGAGAGATAGAGAGCACAGATAGAGTGGCAGGCAGAGGGAGAAGCAGGCTCTCCACTGAGCAGGGAGCCCGATGTGGGGCTCAATCCCAGGGCTCTGGGATCATGACCTGAGCTGAAGGCAGATGCCCAAATGACTGAGCCACTCAGGCGCCCTGATGTTCCATTAATTTTTAACATTATCTTTCCCTGTGTTCCTATTAACTAGTTCTCCATTAGGATATTGTGTGTGTTAAGAGTGCAAACTATTGAAGTCAGAATGACTGGATTTGAATTGATTTGAGTACCACTTGGTAACTCTGTAACCACTAGAAGTGACTTCTTTTTTTTTTTTTTTTTAAAGATTTTATTTATTTATTTGAGAGAGAGAGAGTATGAGAGACAGAGAGCATGAGATGGAGGAGGGTCAGAGGGAGAAGCAGACTCCCTGCCAAGCAGGGAGCCCGATGTGGGACTCGATCCCGGGACTCCAGGATCATGACCTGAGCCGAAGGCAGTAGCTTAACCAACTGAGCCACCCAGGCGCCCTAAAAGTGACTTCTTTAAGCCTCAGTTTCTTCGTCTGAAAAATGGGAACATTACTGGGGTGCCTGGTTAGCTCAGTTGGTAGAACATGGGACTCTTGACCTTAGGGTCGTGAGTTGAAGCCTCACATTGGGTGTAGAGTCTACTAAAATTTTTTTTTAAAAATGGGAATATTACTTCTTACCTCAAAGGTTGTGTTGACAATTAAAATGCTTAGCGTAGAGCCTTACACATAGATAGCACTTGATAATTGGTAGATGTTATTACTAGAAATCGTATTTAGGTTTTGCTTAAATAAAAAATATTTTACTAGGAAGGTGTCTTTCTTGACTTTGTATCCACAGTAGTAACTTGCTCATGGTAGAAGTTTAATGAATATCTGTTAATTTAATTGATACATGAAATGTAGTAACCCATTACATTAAGTGAGCTGTGATGTTTCTGAGCTTACTAAGGAGCTAAGTGAAAGAAGAGAAAACTAAAAATAAGTATCACTCACTTCATTTGGGCTTGGGTTAGCCCTTGCAGAAAAGGAAGATGGGAAGATTATGTTTCAAAAGATATTTCAAGGGGGAATGATGCTAAATATACAAAAAACAGGGTACTAATCTAGAGAGAAAAATGGAAAGGTAAATTCCCACATGGGAATTTGGTCAGTGGCATAAGACATTTTAGAAGAGGTGGCAAGAGAGAAAAGTTCTTAATGTCAAGAGCAGCAGACTGATTTGGCATGGTTGTTCCTTGAACAATCTGAGATTGTTCTTGATTGAACAAGAGTCCTTTGTCCAAAAACATTCTCTTATCACTTGGTGAGACTGTCATTAGTCCTCTCACCCTTATTAGATAGATATATGATTAGAGGCCTCAGAACACTCCCTGAGACCTTATGGTAGGGATTTCTGAACCAGAAATCTACTTGTGTTTTTTGTTTATCTAATGATTTTTTAATAAAGATTTTATTTATTTATTTGATAGAGACACAGCAGGAGAGGGAACACAAGCAGGGGGAATGGGAGAGGGAGAAGCAGGCTTTCCACCGAGCAGAGAGCCCGACACGGGGCTCCATCCCAGGACCCTGGGATCATGTCCTGAGCTGAAGGCAGATGTTTAACGACTGAGCCACTCACGTGCCCCTGTTTATCTAATGATCTAAGCAAAGTGGTTAGAGCCTACCTCCAATTTAACTGTTTCCCACCAGAACCTACCTCTATTTAATGATGTCCCTTCTTCTACTCCACACTATGGTGAATAAATGAATCGTATATTAACCTCATATGAATAAATGAATCACATATTTAAATCACTAAATCACTGAACCTATGCAAATGATCCAATTTATGTTATCAATAAATATTTGTAGAGTGTATGAAAGTATAGTTAGATGAAAGATAAATGGTTATATAAATGAAATGTTCTTCCTTCTGCTTTCTCCTTACCATAGTCTTTGTCCAAATTTCACCAGTTCTTCCGAATATTGTTCAAATGATAGGCAGTGTGTATTTTTTTGTATGCAGATAATTTGAGATTCTGGTATTCAGGCCATTTTTCCTACTATGTTATAAGCTCCTGGAAGTCTGGGTCTGTCTCTTATTTGTATCTTCTGTGGCACAATGCTTTATACAGAGTGGTTATATAAACATAAGTATATTAAATGAATCATGTAATTTAATATATTTCTGGTGGGAATTTTTGGTACAGAATATTTCAGATGTTACTATTAAATATGAGATATTAACAACACCTTCTCTTCACAGCTTTTCTTGGTATTATTAAAAATTTATTGATTGCTTTAATATGCAGTCTCTCTTTTCCATCCCAGGCTTTTGTCCCTAAATGGGGCAAGTTTTAAGCAGACCTCCTTTCTTACTTATTTTTCTCTCCCTTTTTTCTGTTCCACTTCTGTCTTGCAGCTCTATTTATCTTTTCACCATTCTCTCTATTTTTTATTATTCCTGTCTCTTCCTCTTCTTACAATTCTTAACGCTTTTTAGAACTTTGTTTCCTTGTCACCTACTCTTTCTATTTTTGTTCTTTCTGCTTGGCTTTCTCCTCCACTTGTCCCCACCTTCTTTCCTTGTCCTCAAGATACAGGGCAGTATTGGTAGGGAGGGGCCCAGCTGGGCTAGGGGTGGAGCCACTTGTTCAGTGCTTCAAGATTCAGAACCTGAGAAGGATTGGGCTGTTTAAGCAGAGCTGGGGCTGAAGTCCCTATGGCCTTCCTGCTGGAGGCTAGCATTCTGGAGGACAATTGGGACTTGGTGAGATTATAAATTGTCTCTTTCTTTTTGCTCCACCTTTTTTCCTCCTTGTTCTGTATTTTTCACTCGCAGTATCTCTTTACTACTTCTTCCTGTTTCTTTATTGCTTACTATTCTATTTTTTCTCTAGCTCTCAGCCGACTATATTTAGTATTTGTTTACCTTTCCTTTTACCCATTCTTTTCACACATCTGTCTATTCTCTCTCAAAATTTAACTTTTCCTGCGTCGTCTTAATTTTATTCTTTCCTTTTTAAATCTTCTCATCCAACTCTCTTTTCATTTAGTCATTTTCTGTCCACCTCTCTGTTCTTTTTATCTTACTGTTTCCAGAGATGGAGCATAAGAGAGGACACAATGAGCCACCTTGCCTTTCCAGAGGCCTTTCTGCTCCTTCTCAGACTTGTAGGGTATTTTGATTAGACACTGAAGACTTTGTGCTCTGCACAGTTAATAAACAGTGAAATTGGAGTAAGGTTGGATATTAAATGTAAAAGTTTTAATTTTACTCTCTTGTTTTATTTAGGTTTTTTCTGCAGTACAGTGGATACAATTTGTTATGGCTACTCTGAGGTAAATTTATTTAATCTCATGTACTATGACTGTTTAAAGTAGTAGAAGCAAAGCTGTAGAATTCTAAAGTTTTCTGCATTTTCCCCCTGGGTATTTGCTTTTACTCTTTAGGGAGAAATGCTGTTCTTTACCATGTTGATATTTTCTGAGTAATAAAATGTAACATCAACAATAACAAAAAAAAACAGATTGAGGAATGACATCTGAAAATCAAAGGACTTGGGCGCCTGGGTGGCTCAGTTGGTTAAGCGACTGCCTTCGGCTCAGGTCATGATCCTGGAGTCCCTGGATCGAGTCCCGCATCGGGCTCCCTGCTCTGCGGGGAGTCTGCTTCTCCCTCTGACCCTCCCCCCTCTCATGTGTTCTCTCTCATTCTCTCTCTCTCAAATAAATAGATAAAATCTTTAAAAAAAAAAAATGAAAATCAAAGGACTTGGTCAACAGGATTGATTTGCAAAATCAGTAGGAATGATACAGAGAAGATTAGCATGGCCCCTATGCAAGGATGACACACAAATTCATGAAGCATTCCATATTTTAGAAAAATGTGCAATTTATTTTACATCTATTATATATCAGTAAAGCTATAAAAAATCATTAGGAAAAATGAAGGAGCCCCAATAGTCCTCTTTTAATGATTATCTTTTATCTCTGTCAGTGTTATAGGCTCAAGTTCACTTATTGCCTATGCCATATTCCAGAATATACAGAAATCTCCAGAGGTGAGCAAACTCTTTTTGTGTTGGATTTGAATGTTGAGTGACTTAGCTTTTGAAATAAATAAGAGAAGTGTGACCATAAATAATGGAATAATTCTATGAATTACTTGTAAATTTGTCATTATGATACATTGAGATATTTTAGACAAGTCAATAGGTTTCCCTTCTAGGTAATTATTTTAACTATAACTTTGAATACTGAGAGATTGCCTACTAAAAAGTACACTTTTTTGCTATTCATTGATTATTAAAGTTAGGAAACAGTTGTTTGAAGCCTCTAGTCACTCTAAGCACAGTATGGTCCTGCCAAGAGGTGAGTTTTCTGATACTGATATCTTGGTAACATTGCTAGTGGGGCTAGGAAATAGCTCAGAGACTTTGTTGTGCAAAAAGTATTAGGTTTGTTGCTCAGGCCTTCTAGGTAATTACAATTTAATGGTGAAAACAGAGTAAAAATACATCCTATGTAAAATTATTCATACCAAAAAGATCAAGTAAAAAAACTTTCCTTTTATTGAGGTATAATTGACAAACAAAAATTATATATATTTAAGGTGTAAACAAACAAAAAACCTTCCTGATTGAGAGAGGACTAGGAAGAGAGATGTATTTCCTAGCTATGAAAAGATTTTAAGAGAAATGTAACAACTACTTCTCTAACCAGGCCAAATGGCACAAAATTAGACAAAATATAGTTCAGGATGTAAATGGGAGAGCTTTTGTATGTGGAAAATGTGATTGGGTTTTATTAGGCCCACTTTAGTAATCAAAATAGTTCTGTATGTTGAACACTTTCTGAGTTCCAAGTATGCTAGGTGCTTTACAAACTTTATCTTATTGGCTCTCATCACTCTCCCATGAGAAGGATGATATTAGCTCCATTTCACAGATGAGGAAATTGAGGCTCAAAGTCATGAAATAACTTGTTCAAATTTTACAGTAAGTAGCAGAACAGATTTTCAAAAGTCCAACTCTTAACTACAGTCCCCCTTCAAATTAAACACAGTATTTAGTATTTATTGTATTCTAGACAGATGTGCTCAGTGTTTTAAATACATTTTTCATTTAATCCTTAAAACAACTCTGTGAGGAGGATATTATTAATCTCATATTATAGTGAAGAAATGGAATCCTAGTAAGGTTGAGGGACATTCCTAAGGTCTTATTTATAGCCAGTAAGTTGTTAGAGCTAGAATTTGAGTATAGGATTGTCTTGTTCCAAAGCCTTTCTCCATATATGCTTTTTAAGCCACTGAAATATGATACCTAATGAAGATAGGATTTTGAATTTCAGACATAGACTGTGACTATGTAAGTAAAACTGGAGAGTAGAAGTCTTGGTACTGTTTTGTCATTGCCTGCCAAAGTAATCTTGGACCACATATCTTTCTGTGATTCAGATTTCCCTAATGTTTGTCTCCTTTGCTGAAATTTGAATTCATACATGATTAAGTTAATAAAGTATTAGTTATGTAGTAGAGAGAGCTAAGCAGAGATTCTCAGTCTCTGCATTATTTATCTGTTGGACTGGATGATTATTTGTTATAGGGGGCTGTCTGCACATTAGGATGTTTAGCAGACTTTACCCACTAAATGCTAGAAGCAAACCACCTCCCCCTACCTTTGAGGTTGTAAAAACCAAAATATCTTCAAATATTGCCAGATGTCTCCTGGGGGAGGCAAAATTGCTCCTGGCTGAGAACCACTGCTCTAAGGTGACTTCTGGCGTGACAATGGGTTAGAGCTTTATAAAGATGTGGGATCTAGTTTCGCCTAGGAGGTGACCTTTAGTTTCTCTGGCTTCAGTTCTCATACCTTTCACATAACCAGAGCCTAAAGGACCTTAGGAACCACTAGTTCACTGGTTCCCACACATTCTGTTTTCTTGGTGTAGGAAAAATTCCAATTTTTCCAGGTTGAGAATGTCAACCATCCTCCAGTTTTCCTTTTTCCTCCATCAAAGAATATTTTTAACAGCAAAAAACACATGGAAGTAATAATCTGAAAAAGTCCAAAATAGTCTATTAAATTAAAAATAAATATGGTAAATTGGAGAAATCCATAGGGAATCTTTGAGGGGACTAGCTGATGAAACAATGACTCAGAGAAGCAAACTGAAGAGAGAAGAAAGTGGCCAGACTAGCCATTGTTAAATAACACTCAAGGCAGATACTTTATTACACTTATGTGACTTAATTTGCCCAAGAAGATCACTTTTGATATTCTTTGTAACCTGATATCATTTGAATAGAAATATTGGGAAGCAGGGTTTTAGAAGAGTATTCCTATGAACCTCACCAGCACAGACTTGGACCCGAACCTCCCCAGGGAAAGCCTTTCACACAATGCACGTCCTCCCTGCCCTACCCCTTATCCTGCTCTTGATTTAAATTAGGTACAAATTAGACATTTTTAAAAAAAGATTTTATTTTTTTATTTGTCAGAGAGAGAGAGAAAGCACAAGCAGGGGGTGCGGCAGGCAGAGGGAGAGGGAGAAGCAGGCTCCCTTCTGAACAAGGAACCCGAAGCAGGACTCGAATGCAGGACCCTGGGATCATGACCTGAGCCGAAGGCAGACACTTAACCAACTGAGCCACCCAGACATCCCTACGCATGTTTTTTAAAAAGAGTTTTTGCTTTCATATTTAGGACTATGTCTTAGGCTTTTATGTGTCTGCCTAAGTACTGCACACTGTGCTTGATTGCACTTTCCTTAAACCATGGGCTATACCGAACCTTTCTTTGTATTACATTCAACATAGTATCTTGTGAACATAGGCAGGGTGAAATTTTTCTTGATTTTAGTAGGTACTCGGTTAATTTTTGTTGTTTACTTGATTGACTTTATCTCCTGTTACTAGAACTCATTGTTTTCCAAGCATGAGTGAAGTTATATAAACCTCTTTTTATCCTCCATTTCCCTGCCAAAGACTTTAGGTATGTTTTAGTGGCAAACAGCTCTCTCTTTATAAGGCTATTTATTGAATCAATGACCATAAACAAAATTACATTCTCGCTCACAAAAGTCTCTTGGCTGCCTTTCTCCTCCGGAGTTTATTTTGTGTTCAGTTTTAATTTTTTACCCATTAACAGTTATAAACTTGTGGAAGGTCATGGGCCAGTAGAATCTGTGAATGTGCCATCTGGTTGGAATTTTAGTAGGCTTACCCAGAGCAAAGGCTATATATGCTAAAAATAATAATAATATCTGATATTTATTAAATGTAGTTTAAAATGTTATTTCACTTGTTTTTGTATCTGTTAGCCAAAGCAACTTGACCATTTACCCCTGTTTGCAAGGTATAGCATCTTAGGTTTCCTCTCATTTGGAAGAGGGGAATTAGAAAACTTCCCTTTTGTACAGGTGAGATTAGTTTTTATATTAGGTAGTATGTGATAATAACCTAAAAAAATTTTTAATTTACTTTTTCTTGTGAGATATATCAGATATGGATTAGAAGCATAAAACTTGTATGTACTGCTTAAAGAATGATTATAACCACTATGGACAAGAAATAGAAATTGTCTGTACCAAAATGCTCCTTACTGGTCAACCTACTATGCTCCTTACTGGTCACAAATCTCATCCTCACTTCTAGAGATAACCACTGTCCCAACTTCTGTGATTATAATTTCTTTGCTTTTATGTACAGTTTTGTCAATGTATGTATCTTTAAACAATTTAGTTCAGCTCATTTTTTAACTTTTTGTAAATGGACTAATATTGTATGTATTTTTTATATAGTTTTGTGATTTGCTGTTTTTTGTCAGTGTTATTTGTAAGATTTATTCATGTTGTGTAAAGCTCTGGTTCATTTCTTTTTCACTGATGTTTAGCATTCTGTATTTTGAACATATCATAATTTATGTATCTGTATTGCTATAAATAATCTTGTCCATGTCTTCTGGTGCACACATGCAAACATTTCTCTAGTGTATTTACCTAATGACGGAATTGCTGTAGGAGAGGCATATCTCCTAGATAATGCCAAACTTTTCCTAAATGGTTGTGCCAGAGGGTATGAAAGGACTCATTGCTTCATGTTTCCATTAATCCTTGATATTGTCAGACTTTAAAAATTTTTACCATGAATGTAGAATTTTTTTTCTCATTGTAGATTTAATTTTTCATTTCCTTGATTACTAATGATATTGGGCATATTTTCATATGTTTATGACCATTTGGATTTCTTCTTAAGTACCTGTTCACACGTTTTGCCTATTTTTTTCTACTGGGTTTTTTTTAATTGCTTTGTAAGAGTTTTTGTTTGTTTTTATTTTTAATATTGTTTTGATACCGGTCCTTTGTCAGTTTTATGTGTTGCAAATAATCTTCCATTTTGTGGCATGTCTTTTTCTTATGGTGTCTTTTGACATATTTTTCTTTTTCACTGGTTGAATTTTTCAATTACTTCCTTTTAGAGCCTTTTTGTTTTGTTTAGGAAAAATTTCCCTGGCCAGAAGTTGAAGACATTCTCCTCTATTATCTAAAAAAATTTTTTTATGGTTTTTGCCTTTCACATTTAGTTATTTAAACCAGTTGGAACTCATTTTTGAGTGTGTGAGATAGAAAGTAGGGGTCCACTTTTATTTTTATCCATACAGACCCCCAGTTGTTGCAACATCATATTTTGAAAAGACTATCCTTTCTCTCTTGATCCAGAAAGCCACCTTATGGGTTGCCTGGCTGGCTCAGTCAGCAGAGCCTGCAACTCTTGATCTCAGGGTTGTGAGTTTGAGTTCCACATTGGGTGTAGAGTTTACTATAATAATAATAACAATAATAATAAAATGAAAATGTTCAAAAAAAGCCATTTCTAGGGGCACCTGGGTGGCTCAGATGGCTTGGGTCATGATCTCAGGGTCCTGGGATTGAGCCTCGCGTCGGGCTCCCTGCTTAGCGGGGAGTCTGCTTCTCCTTCTGCCTCTGCTGCTCCCTCTGCTTGTGCTCTCTCTCGAGCTCTCTCTCTCTGTCAAATAAATAAAATCTTTTTTAAAAAGCCACTTCTATCATGTATAAAAAGTTTTTATTTATGCTTAGGTTTGTTTGAGCTCTGATTCTGTTTCATTTGTCTATTTGCTTATCCCTGTGCTAGGACCACAGTATCTGCACTCTAGCTTTATAATAAGTTTTGCTATGTGTAGGACAAGTCTTCTTTTTCCTCTTTCATTAAGAATGTCTTGGTTATCTTTATATTTTGTATTTCTATATCAGATGTAGAGCCAGCTTGTCAACTTCCACAAGAAAATATGTTGAGATACAGTTGATATTGCATTTAATCTATGTATCAGTTTAGGGAGAACCAACATTTTTGTAATCTTAGGTCTTACAATCCATGAGCATAGTATATTTGTTCACTGTAGATCTCTTTTGGTGTCTCTCAATAAACATTTTATAATTTTCTCTGTAGGCTAACCAATACTATTTTTAGAAATGTGGGAGTAGGGAGGCCAAAAGGGGAAGAATACTAGAAAGTGATAAAGAAGGACAAACTTTACTGATGGGGTCAGAAATTGAAAAGCAGCATATACAATTCATACCGATGTTTTTCCTACTCTGAGTTTTCATTGACAAAATAAGATGAATAAGGTCTGAGGATCTAATGTATAATGTGGTGACTATAGTTGATAACATTGTGTTGTATAATTGAAATTTGCTAAGAGAGTAGAACTTAAATGTTCTCATCAAAAAAAAAAAGTAAATGTGTGTGGTGATGGAGGTGTTAACTTGGGGAAATCCTTTCACAATGCACATGTATATCAAATCATCCCATTGCACACTAAATATCTTACAATTTTTCAATAAAGAAAAGAAAAAGAAAAATGCAAGTTAAACTATATTAAGATTTTAAAAACCTGTTTTTTTTTCTTGAGTCCTTAACCATATCCCAAAACTCAGCTGATGATCTCATTTCCTATTGTTGGATGTTGGCTGTGCAACTAGAGCACTTTTAATTTTCTATTTGTGGTGTGTCTCCCATCACAAAATTCCTTATCTGCCCATTTTTTCCTTTGTCCCTATATCTGAGGAAGGAATATGTTTATGAGGAAGAAGTTCCAATGCTAGTCTATCCATGAGTAGTCTGATTCCAGGACAATTGGGATAGTTGCAATTATGTATTCCTGCCTACCTGGAGTATTCCTTTACATTCCCCACAACCACCAATGACAGAGACCCCAGAAAAATGGTGCCCAGATTTTTACTAGAAAGGTATAACATAAAAATAATTGATTGTTACATTCTCCTAGCTACATCATTTATGAAATGAGGCTCTTGTTGCTTTGACAGATAAGGCCACTCTTTTATCTGAGCTTCTCTGACCTTCTCCTGGGGATATGCTGGCTCACTGAGGCACTTCTTTATGGAACTTCAGCAGCCAATAAGGACATTGTCTGCTATAACTTGCAAGCAGTTGGACAGGTGAGTGGTACTAGACTGTGACTGTATCTTGTAAGACAGGTATACTCAGACCTAAATAGAAAGCAAAGATAATCCATCTTGGTAAGTGGGGCCCTTTTGTTTGTTGTTACACTTTGAAACAATAGCTCTTAATGGTTTTCCATATTAAAAAACACTACTTGTTTATTATAGAAAGGGTGGAAAATTCAGAGAAGCAAAAAGATAATTAAAATCACCCATAATCACCCACAATATTTTATATGTATTATATATCTTTCCAATCTTTTTCTCTGTAGGTATATGCATTTTAAAACAAGTAATTTTTTGTAAATTGCTTTTTTTTTTTTAACATAGCATGAGTGTATTTCCATGTAATGAAATTGTCTTTAACAACATCTTGCGATTAATGCATGGTTTTTATTAAAAGAATATAATAAGCAGTGGCTTAAATTGGGAAATACTACGTATCATTATGTATGGATTATAGATCTTTCACAGATTTTATCAGTAGATTAACCCACACAGTGCCATCTGTATATAATGTTTCTTATATTTCTCAGACTTGCTATGTGAAAAAGTAGAGGTTAAAATGCAATCTGTACTCACTGTTAACGTGTTTCCTTTGAGATTTGTTACTAGTGGAAATATTTCTTTCAGTTTAGTAGGAAAATTATAACATGTAATTGGTGGTATGAAATCCATGTACTAATATAAGTTAACTATCTCATATGAATTTTAGTATCATAGAAACATACTTTATTCAATCCTCCTAATATCTCATAAATTGAGTAACTGTATTATTTTCTCAGCTAAGGAAATAACATAGCTTTGGAAGTAAAAAAAATCTGCATAGAATTCTGAACACAGTTAACTTTGTAACCTTAGGCAAATACTTAATTTCTGAACTTAAGTCTCCTAGTCTGTAAAATGGTCATTAATAATATTTACCTTGTGCTTGGCATAGGTATGATTGTTTCTTTTTTTTACAACTTTATTGAGCTGTACATACAATAAACAACATATATTTATTTATTTAATTTTTAAAATATTTGAGAGAGGGAGAGAACATGAATGGGGGGAGGGCAGAGGAAGAGGGAGAAGCAGAGCCTCCACTGAGCAGGGAGCCCGATGTGGGGCTCAATCACAGGACCCCAAGATCATGACCCAAGCCAAAGGCAGACGCTTAACTGACTGAGCCACTCAGGTGCCCCTACACCACACTATTTAAAGTGTACAATTTTATCTTTTTTAATATATGTATACCCCTATCAAATCATTACCACAATTAAGATAACAAACATTTCTATTTCCATCACCCCACAAAATCATTTCAAGTTTATTTTCCTTTATCTCATGGAGCATATGAATGACAATAGTTGCTTTTAAAAATTTTAGTTGGATATATCCAATATCTGGCTATTTCTAAGTTGGTGTTTGTTGATTGTCTTCTCCCATGATAATGGTTGACAAATTTCTGTTCTTTGTGTGTCAAGTAATTTAGGATCTCATCTTGGACATTGTGAATTCTATGTAGCATAGACTCTGGGTTCTTTTGTAATTCTCTGGAGAATGCTAATGTTTTTGCTTAGCAGACAGTCAACCTGATTAGGTTTAGAATGTGAATTTCTTTTTTAAACAATTTTATTTATTTATTTGAGGGGGGGGCAGGAGATGGGGGGGATCAGAGGGAGAATCAGACTCCCTACTGAGCAGGGAGCCCAATGCGGGACTTGATCCTGGGACTCCAGGATCGTGACCTGAGCCAAAGGCAGTCACTTAACCAACAGAGCCACCCAGGCACCCTAGAATGTGAATTTCACTTCATCATTTTTAGGTTCAAGTTCTCTAAGCCTAGTTCTCTAAGCCTTAGCTATGCTGGTTTTGGGCTGTCATGTGCATGTATAGTGTAGTGGTTAGGTTGAGACTTATATGGAATCATACACAGAATTAGGACATCTGCTTTTCTTGCTCTGTCACTTTGGGATTCCACCCACACTTTCCTGCCTGAAGGGGGACATTCTCTGGTTTATGTGGCTTAGAACATAGGTTTCTGTTCGAGTTTTAGGTGCCTTCATTGAGAAGCATCATGATTGGGATGCACACTTGAGGAAAAGCTGTAAGACAGCAAGAGAGAAAAGTTTGGGAAACTCACTTTTGTGCAGTTTGCTTCTCCATATTTGACTCCTTGTTTGATTTTTACTTTTCAGTCTTCAAGTAGTTAATTTTTATATTTTTCCCAGAGTTTTTGTTTGTAATCAATGGGAGGGATGGGCTGAAGAGGGCTAAAAAACATTAGCTTATTTAGTTATATTTATTTATTTATTATTCATTCATTTATTTATTGAGTGAGAAAGAGCATGTGGATGGGGAGGGGCAGAGGGAGAGAGAATTTTTTTTTTTTTTAGAGATTTTATTTATTTGAGAGAGCGAGCACAGTGGGGGGAAGGGCAGAGGGAGAGGGAGAAGCAGACTCTCTGTTGAGCAGGGAACTGGACATGGGACTCGATCCCAGGTCCCTGAGATTATGACCTGAACTGAAGGCAGATACTTAACCAACTGAACCTCCCAGGTTCCCTGGAGAGACAATTTTAAGCAGGCTCCATGCTCAGCTCGGAGCCTGATGCAGGGCTCGATCTCATGACCCTGAGATCATGACATGAGCTGAAATCAAGAGTCCATGCTTAACCGACTGAGCCACCTAGACACCCCTAGCTTTATTTTTTTAATTGTGGTAACGTGCATAACATAAAACCATTTTAATCATTAAATTTTTAAAAAATTGTGGTAAAAAACACATAACAAAATTTATCATCTTGACATTTTTAAATGTACAGTTCAGGGGCACCTGGGTGGCTCAGTTTGTTAAGCATCTGCCTTCGGCTCAGGTCATGATCCCGGGGTCCTGGGATCGAGCCCCGTGTCGGGCTCTCTGCTCAGCGGGAGCCTGCTTCTCCCTCTCCCTACCTCTCTCCCTGCTTGTACTCTCTCTCTCTCTGTCAAATAAATAAATAAAATCTTAAAAAAAAATCTTTAAATGCACAGTTCAGTGATACTAAGTACATTCATATTATTGTGTAGTTATCACCACCATCCATCTCCAGAAATTTTCATCATCCCAAACTGAAACTCTGTATCCAATGATTCTACTTCTCCCACCAAGCACTACCATTCTTTCTGTCTGTATGAATTTACCACTCTAATTACCTCCTATCAGTGGAATCATACAATATTCATTCTTTTGTGTCTAACTTATTTAACTTAGCTTAATGTATTCAGTGTCCATCCATGTTGTAGCATATGTCAGAATTCCATTCCTTTATAAGGCTGAATAATATTCCTTTGCATGATTATACCACATTTTATTTATTCATTCATCCATTGATGGACCCTTGAGTTACTTCCATCTTTTGGCTATTGTGTATAATGCTGCTTTGAACATGGGTATACAAATACCTGTTTGAGCCCTTACTCTTAATTCTTATGAGTATATATCTAAAAGTGGAATTGCTGGATCAAATGATAATTCTATGTTCAATTTTTTGAGGAACCACCATATTGTTTTCCATAACAGTGGCATCATTTTACAGTTCCACTGCATAAAGTTTCTAATTTCTCCATATCCACATTAACAGTTGTTTTCTGGTTTTGTGTGTGTGTGTGTGTTTTTTAAATAACTATCCTAATGGAAGTAAAGTGGTATAATGTGGTTTTTGAGTTGTATTTCTTTAAAGATTAGTGGTATTAGTGATGTTAAATATCTTGTTGTGTGCTTGTTGACCATTTGTATATCTTCCTTGAAGAAATGTTTATTCAAGTTCTTTGTCCATTTTTAAATTTGTTGTTGTTGATTTATAGGGGTTCTTTATGTATTATGAATATTAATTCCTTATCAAATACACGATTTATAAATATTTTCTCCCATTCATTCATAGGTTGCCTTTTCACTCTGTAGATTATGTCTTTTGATGCACAGAAATATTTAATTTTGATGTAGTCCAATATATTGTTTCTTTTGTTACCTGTGCTTTTGATGTTGTATTCAAGAAATCATTGCCAAGTCCAGTGTTGTGAAGATTTTCCCCTATGTCTTCTGCTAGAAGTTTTATAGTTTTACTTCTTAGGTTTAAGTCTTTGATCTATTTTAAACTAATTTTTGTATATGGTATAAGGTAAGTGTCCACCTTCATTCATGTGCATGTGGATATTCAGTTTTTTAAATAACATTTGCTAAAAAGACTGTCCTTTCCTCACTAAATGATCTTGCCACTCTTGTTTAAAATCATATGACTTATATGTGACATTTTATTCCAGGCTCTTTATTCTGATCCATTAATTCTATATGTCTGTCTTTAATTGTTTTTTTTTCTTTAATTGTTTTAATTACTGTTACTTTGTAGTAAGTTTTGAAACTGGGAAGTGCAAGTCCTCCAACTTGGTTCTTCTTTTTAAAGATTGTTTTGGCAGCCATCAAAAAAAATGAAATCTTGCCATTTGCAATGACGTGGATGTAACTAGAGGGTATTATGCTAAGCGAAATAAGTCAATTGGAGAAAGACAATTATCATATGATCTCACTGATATGTGGAATTTAAGAAACAAGGCAGAGGTTCATAGGGGAAGAGAGGAAAAAATGAAACAAGATGAAACCAGAGAGGGAGACAAACCATAAGAGACTCTTTTTTTTAGATTTTTTTATTTATTCATTTGAGACACAGATAGAGAGAGAGAGAGAGAGAGAGAGAGAGAGAGAGGGAGAGAGCATGAGCAGGGAGAGAGGCAGAGGGAGAGGGAGAAGCAGGCTCCCCGCTGAGCAGGAAGCCCGATGCGGGGCTTGATCCAGGACGCTGGGATCATGACCTGAGCCAAAGGCAGATGCTTAACCATCTGAGCCACCCAGGCGCCCCAGACAAACCATAAGAGACTCTTAATCTTAGGAAACAGAGGGTTGCTGGAGGGGAGTGGGGTGGGGGAACGGGGTAACTGGGTGATGGACATTGGGGAGGGTATGCATTGTAAGGAGC